TGTAATGAAAAAATGTCATAAAAATCCTTATTAATGGCAAAAATTACTTACATTTATGGGTCTGCTTGCTCGAGTAGGCAGCCATGTTGTAAATTTCTCTTAGCCCTTCGTTTGAAGTGAGGTCCCGAAAAATCTTCGTTTCGAGGGCTATCTAGCCCTTCCCCTTACCCCTCCAATCAAAAGAGAATTGAGACACCCCTACCCCTACACGTGAACACGCCAAACGGAGGGGTAGGGGTAAGTGTAGGGGTAAGGGGTAGAATTGGGATTGGGCCTAAGTCTCTCCTCCATTGTGGCTAGGAACGGTTGGGTCGGAACAAAAGTTTACACGATTATGTTCTGCGGCGCTCTCTTTAGCGGAGCATCTCTACATTCCCATTGGTTGCTGCCTAACCGCGTCACAGCTCATTACCATAAAGTTGACTGAGATTCAACTTCTGTCTGACGCTCCCGCCGCCCAGATCACAACGCGCCGCACCTCGACACCTCCCGACACTCCCTCCCATAGAGAATGAATGACTTCCGGCCGCTTTGACGCTCCCGCCGCTCGCAGTGTGAACGTAGCATAAGCGTGCTTTATTTGCTTCCGATGCCGGGAGACCTCCTTTCCGTATCACCCTGTTCAAAACTTTATCTAGCCGTCTCAGAAACTCAGATAACTTCTCCCCAGGATGCTGGCAAAGGAGTCGGAACGCAAAGTACAGGTCTTCTCCAGTCTCAACAGACCCAAAGGTGTTCTCTATAGATTCAATATACTCCTCGGGGGAGGCATCTGGGTTGTTAAATCGAACCGCCTGTGCTATCTCAGCTGCCGGGCCTCTCAAACTCTCTATAATCTTCAACCTTTTCTCTCTATCTGGTTGCTCACAGTTGTCTACCATCAGACGTGCTTGCTTCACCCAGTTATCGAGCGATTCCTCCCCGGGTGGTGTGGGGAGAACTCCTGAGAAGGTACGCAACCTCCTATACATTCCAGTATCTGCCGACAGTCTGCCCTGCCTCTCCATCAAATCCCCAACAGCACGAATGAGGGCCTCTGGTGAGCATACCAGGGGTGAACTTGCTAGGTTTATGTCAGGACTTCCCTCCTGCATTTCTGGGCCCAAATAATCCTAATTCTTAGTCTACTAAAATTTACTAAATATGTTATTTAAAATGTCTCAGTGTCACGTTCGGAGACGGAGGCAAGCAGGGAAGCAGGAGCGCAAGCTAGGACGTCAGGTAAACTTGGGTTTATTAACCAAAAGACAGACAGGCACGGACACTACACTGACATTACAATGCACAATCTGGGGAACAAGGGGAGACGTGGACTGATATACACAGAACAAGGCAAAAAAAACAGGAAACAGCTGGCACAAAATCGGGGAAGCACACGTGGATAATGAGGGGGCGTGGCACACACTAGGAGCGGACGGAGCGGGGCGTGACACTCAGTCCTCTAATTACCCGAATTGTATTAAAATCCCAGCGGTGCCTCCATTTTATGTAGCACCCCCTTCCTGCCTCCAAGGGAGCATAAAAGAGGTGCCCTAGATATATATATTTATTTAGTTATTGCCTAACTAAATAAACTGACACAATACTTTTTCTTCCGTACTCTGCCCAAACAGTGATCTCTCTACCCTCCAGCCGTCTTTTCCCTGCCTCTTTCGTGCCTTTTTTTTTACCTCCCCACTTTTTTCCCTGCCCCGTCTCTCCCTCTGATTGGGGTTCTAACACAGAGTCCCAATCATATTGCAGCCATTCTCTGACTGACAATACAGAGTAAACCTCAGCGAGTGTCTGCAAATGATTTACGGGCAAGCTTCAAATGAAGCTGAACAAATTTAAACTAAGAGGTAAAGCAACAACAGAAATCAATTAAAATATATTACCACGGGCTACATGTGTAACCGGTCTTTCTTGCAAAAAAACTAAAGTCACCAAAATTATTTTCAGGATAGAAATGGTACAAAAAAGATAAATAATACCCAGGACTGGGCTATTGGACTGGGCTGGATATTTTTTCTACAGCCCCAAATGTTTTCTGCTGGTAATTTGTTCCATTCTGAATGGAGGGCCATTGCATTGGTTAACTTTACTATTACATACTTTTCAAAAGATTGACCATTTGGATGCTCAGATCCGATCCTTTTGCTAACCCCTGGCCCCTCCTCCCACCATTCTCCGCTCCTCTTTTCAACTGTCTCATTTTGATTCTCAGCAAGTGCATATACACTGCACACGCATGTACACTCACCCCAACTACATTCCCTGATCTGTCCAGATTTTTCAAATATGAGGACATGAAAGGTAAAACTTCTGTTGACATTACTGTTGACCTGGTTAATCTAAGTACCGTGATATGTTCTAGTTAATCCATGTAAAGTTTGAGATCACCATTATTTGCCATCAGATGGTTTCACCTACTGACAGATGGCTAACTACTTCAGCTATGTTAGCTGCCTAATGTTATTTCCAACTGTTCTGCTCAGTAAAATACAATTATTTGTATAATTAAAAAGAAAAAGAAACGGTAACACTTTACTTGACAGAGGCACAAATGCTTAGTAATAACTCCTCACTACTACTAATAACTTACTACTGAAGTACAAGTCATGAACAAAACAGAGCATGTGAGTGGAGTGGAGCGGAGCGTGAGCGAGGAGCGGAATTTGGTCAGAGCGCGGAGCGGTTTTTTAATTATGGCTGGAGTGGTCGCTCTGTATCGCTCCAATTTTGCTCCGATACCACTCACACTACGATTCTGAGGCGTGCCCAAATCTACCCAGAATTCATCTGTACAATTATCAAGACTGTTACACAACTTGGCCGAGATAGAAAGAACAACAATGTGGTGAAACTGTTTCAGTGAGTAAAGATTCACTTTGGAATCACTTTTCTCAGAAACATGAGAGTGTGCTACGCGAACAGGCAGAAGCCAGAGCAAAACGTGAGCAAGTTTTATATGGTTGTAGCATATCAAGTCTATAAAGTATAAAAGCCTATAAATATTGGTAATCAAATAAATTCGTTTTGTCATTCAAAGTAGGTCTAATAGGATTTTTATTTCACGTAACGCTGTCAGTGAAATTTTATTTTATAGAGAGACGCAGCAGCATCAACAGAAAAAAATTGAGGAATTTAAAACGTGGATGCTTAGCCTGTATATTCTTTAGGCTATTAAGCCCACTGATTTCTTTTATTCTTAAGCCTATTTTTCTGTGGAATGCCATTGCCAAACCTGTCCATTGTTGCCTATATGTTGCTTAAAAATAAATACAGTGGTATCTCGGTTCTCAAACTCACTAGAACTCGAATTTCTTGAAAGTCGAACAAACCAGTTTGACCTAGAACTCGATCGGAATATCAGAAGTCGAACCGTGAAGGCTGACCTAATATAAATTGTATGCGCCAGGAAATGAGTCATACTACAATGCAATCTGCTATATGCCGCGGATTTCTGGTCTGACGTTTCAGCCAGCTACAGTATTTCCGGTACGCACTAGCTATGGCGTTTTTCACTCGATCGCTGCAGGACCTGCCAAGGATAATGACGTGAATCGCATCATTCATGCTGCATCCAAGATGCCTACGTGAAAAAAGGACAAAGGCTTTAAATTGTATGTGTCCAGCTACATACACAACTATGAAGGTAAGTCTCTGTTTTGAGTTCTAAACTATCTCTGATACTTGCTAGCCGTTTACTAGCCGAAGTTAGCACCTTGATAGAGTAACGTTTATTTACTAGCTAACATTAGCATATTGATAGGTAGGTTAACGTCATGAATATGTTGTTTTTGTGCATTGTACTATCCTAACCACAATGTTAATCTCAGTTTCAAACAAGGTGTCAGGAGAGGTGACAGTTAGGTCTGAGTGCTTCAGGTCTATGAGGAAAAGCGTAAAGCCTCACTGTCTGAGTGTAAGGGAAAGTCATCCTGCAGGTTCAGTTCAGTTCAGGTTCATAAGAAACAGGTTCCTGTTTGTCAGATAAAGTTTCTGAATCATTACTGTGAATTAAATAAGGTTTAAGACTCTCATTGAACTACATATTAGGGTGGGGTGAAAAAATTTAAATTTCCAATAGCAATTTCCAATAGCGCGGAAAAGTTGTCACTGGACCTCGTTATTAAATGTGCAAAATATCTTTGAAATAGGTTAATATTTTCAGGTTCCGCAACGCGATCGAAGTTTTCACCTGTCACATCAATGGGCAATATACACTATCCATTATCTATACTCATCGGTGTTGTGTTTGTGCACTTTCACAACATGATAATCACAACAAAATACCAATGTTCAGGTAACGCAGATTTTTACTGGGTATCAGCCATACACATACATTACATCACTCTGTGGCTCTACGTGCATTACCATTAATCACCTGTCACATCAATGCGCAGATCCACGCTACTGTTACGTGCCGTAAGTTTGGGTTATGTGCCGTAAGTTTTGGGTACGTGCCGTAAGTGTTATGTGCCGTAAGTTCAGGAGGATGCCTGCAGGTTCTTTGCACGTCCTGCCCACTCGCCAATTGGTCAACTGCTCCCTCGACTCCGCCCTCTAGACCTGACCCCGCCTCCCTTGCCTTCGGAGCAGTTTCTGGTTCATCGGCTGAAGAAATTGCCGCTTCGTCCCTTCGTCTGCTCGCTACTTGCTTCTCGCTAGCTCGCTAGCTCGCTCTTTGTTCGCTTTGCTTTTGGTTTGAATGCTTGTGTATGACTGTTTTGTTCTCGACTTCTGATTTTCACCTCATCCCTTATTGTACCTTCGCCCTGGTTTTGACTGTCTGCTTGGTTTTGAACTTTCGCTTGTACTCCGACTTTGCCTCTTGGATCTTCCCTCTGGATACCTTTGCTTCGACTGTGTGTTTCGTGTTCCATTAAGTGTGTGTAAGGAGTGTCTGCCTTTTTGCTTCTTCGTCAACGTGGGGATTACTGTTTGTTTGGGTAGGGAGATAGGCTTAGGCATTGTTGTTTCGTTTCACCCTTTTGTTGTGCTCACTTAGGATTAATTTAGCTTGTGGTTGTTTTCGGTAGATGTGTTTTTGTTGTTTCTTTGGCCTTTGTCACTCCTGATGTTCGTTACACCTACACTGTAAAAAAAAATCTCGTAAAAAAACGGTAAAATGACTGGCAGCAGCGGCTGCCAAACAAAAACTGTAATATTACAGTAAAATGTTTTATTTCAAATGAAGTGCAAAAACATTAAATTTACAAAAAATGTCCGTTATTCTTTTACATAAAAACACTGTTATTTTACAGTTTTTCTTAATATTATTATGATCAAATTCCTTAAAAGGGCAATTCCAAAAGTAAATATATATGAAGATTAAGGACACAGGAGTCTGCATTTGGTCCACCCTCTCAGTCCACTGCTTTATTCTGGCTGTATACAGTTGTGAACATGCAAAGGGGATATAGTAAGAGGCATCACGCCACCTTCAAAGCGCAAATATGCGTTAAACATTCAACATGACAAAAATAGTTAAGCAAATATATAGCAGTCAGGGCTTCAGTTCTCCATACTGAACGTACTTAAATTCTCCAGTGTGTTCAGTACGATCTTATACAATAAAAACAATAATAAATTGATTAAAAAAAAAAATAATAACATCCTGTGATCGTATAAGTGAGATACGCACCTGAATACAATTGTGAACATGCAAAGGGGAAGAAATCAGAGTCCCCACGTCTTCTCTGCTGTGTGAGGTAACAGAATCATGTGAATACTTTCGTGCATTTACAAAATGTGAACATTTTAGTACAGTTCGTGCATTTAACTATAAACAACATATAGTGTTAGAGAAATTTGTACTGAATTCACGTTTTCAGTTTTCATTAAAAGGCACTGAAGTTCTTACCATGGAAATGCTGTTGCTCCAGGTTGTGCAGCGTACCTTACTCGCCGTCAAATGCTTAAGAGGAGTGGCTGTTCAAAATGAAGATCAGTGGCGCGATTTGAAAAGTGCGCCAAGGCTGCGGGCTGAGCACTGAGCTACAAGCAGTTGGGCTGCTGTGCGCATGCGTGCAGACGGTTGGCTTAGATTTCGAAGCACTGACCCAGAGCTATGATAGCCTGATAGTGTTTTAAGCAATAATCAGTGCAAGTTCACACTTCATGTTAACTAATTAAAAGTTCAGTTTATCCAGAAAAAAATAATAAACTCACGTTCATACTTTACCATTTTAAGTGAGCGCTAACTCATTTTTTTGCCGGTTTCAACTAAGGTTTTTTATGCCAATATTATGTAATACCTCTCTTTAGTGCATATAAAGAATAGCAACCTATACATTTTACATAGACACACCCACAATATGCAAAAGTTATTAAAAGAAAAAAAAGTGATGATGTGGTCTCATTTTTTTAGATTGGTGGGGGGTGGACTAACACATGCATGGATGCTGAGTATATCAGTTCTCTATATTTACTAATTCATGCTTTTGGAAGACATGGAGCTGATGATGTACATAAACGTGAGGGGCTGCTGCTGCCTCACCTGTGCAATTCCATTCTGGATAATCTTTTTAAAAGTAATTTAAAAAAACATTGGACTTAGAAGTTAAATGTCAGAGTAATGTAAAACTAATAGGATTTACCTCAAAATTACAAAGAGAAATGCTCAATTTCTAGTATGGTCATAAATCTTTAAATTATGAATTGCTTTTTAAATTACAATTAAATGTTGTGATTTTACATAAATTTGTACGTAATTTGAGAAAATGGGAAACATACAGTATAAATTAAACAGTATTTTTCCTTTTAAAAATGTGAAATACATGTAATTTTTCATTACTTGCGTTATGCATAAAATAAAGGTTGGTTTATTAATTCAGGGATAATTTCTGTAATTTTACAAAGTTTTGCAGACAGCTTTTAAAAAAGAGAAACTACTGTAAAAAAATGACAGTTATTTTCTGTAAAATTACTTTTTTTTTTTTTTACAGTGTAGTGTTTGTAAAGTGTCTTTGAAAAACTATAAAAAATCTATAAAAAGACTCCCTTTGTGTCCCGTGTTCCCTTCTCCTACTCCTGGTTGTCATGTCCTTCCCAATCCCTCCTTCCCTTTCACTTTGTTAGGCTCCAACCCTAGACTGGAGCGTAACACTACGTATCATCCATATCATAACGCAATGTTAAATTGTTCCTCAGTGCCACCAAAAAGAAAAGTATTAAGCATGACAGTCAAAATGGTTAGATACACTATATTACCAAAAATATTGGGACACCTGAATTCAATGATTTGGAGGGGTGTCCCAATATTTTTGGTAAGACCCAGATGGATAAAGCGGTATAGATAATGGATAGTGTATATTGCCAGTATGTCAGTGTAAGCATGCTCCTGAGCGCCACATTTCTGAATGAGTCGTTTCCCACTTACTCATTGTCACTGACCAATTATTAGGTTCTTGTATTTAATTGGAACAATTTTACATTGCGTTATGATATGAATGATACGTAGTGTGGATCTGCGCATTGATGTGACAGGTGAAAACTTTCGGTTTCTTTGTTGTTGCTTGGTACACAGTTAATCTTGCATAAAATTGTGTCATCTTCAATCAGGGTAGCCGCAGTCATGGAAAACCTGGATAAGTTTTAGAATTCTTGGATAGAGAGGAAAAGTTATGGAAAAGTGTTACTTTCGGTTTCTTTGTTGTGTGGAACCTGAAAATATTAACCTATTTCAAAGTTGTTTTGCACGTTTAATAACGAGGTCCAGTGACAAATTTTCCGCCCTATTGGACATTTTTATTTTTTTCACCCCACCCTACTACATATTTCTATGTATTTGTTTTTTCCATAACACTTTTTAAAGTTCATTAACAGAGTTCCCCTAACAAAAGTTCACTAATTTATTATGTGAAAGATTGTCTTTAACTGTACTTGCAGCAGGTACAATTTGTTCTCTAAGAGATTTTTTTATTTTAACAGATTGTCCTAAGGGATTCAACTCCTGTGGAGTTACAGGAGTGCCAGTGTACCTGTGTGGCTGGTACATCCTTGTGCAGTCACGTGGCAGCTCTTCTTTTTCAGACTGCCCACTATTCCCAACTGAGGCTCACATCAGTTCCCCCAGTGTTCAGCTGCACAGAGACTGAACAAAAGTGGCATAAACCAAGGACTATGGTAAGTAATCTGATGCTTTGATTTTATTTATGGATATCTGTTCAATGTTTATAGAAAAAATGTTTTTGTTTGTATACAGGGTATTAAACCTGGTCCAGTAAACAAGATGGTTATCCTGTCAGCCAGACCAAGAGAAAGAAGACTGGTAGAAGGAATCAGGTTTGTGTTGCTATCAATACTACCCACAGACACTAAAAAATTAAAAACTAATAGTGACTATTTTTGTAACACAGCACACCACAGCACACAGTGCACAGCGAAATTTGACTGTTGGAGTAGTGAGTGGGTACAGTACCTTACTCAAGAGCACCTCAGTGGCAACTAGGTGGGAAATCAAACTCACAACCCTCCAGTCATGAGTCCCATTCCTTGAAATGATAGGCCACCAATGCCCCACAGTGACATTTGGCATGCACAACTACACATGCATATGTATGTACTCCTGTCCCTACCTACCCACACACATACATCTATGGACATACACACACACTCAAACATGCAGACCCACAACTACACATGCTCACACGTAATACTCATTGTTATATACATGCGTGCATGCCTACACACATGGTTTTGCACACATATATTTCTTATTATAGCACACTTGTTTCCTTTTTTGTCATTTTCACAGAAGCAACTTGTATAATGGTGTTAGCTCATCTCTGCCGGAAATATCAACACTTAAAGTTCATGACGTGTACCATGACCTTCCTGCTGATAAAGCTCCCATGATCACAACAATGGCTGTTTCCAGTGATGTACCTCTGGTTGACTCCATGTTCGGAGAGGTGCAAGAGGGAAGTGTGCTGTCTTATCAGATGCCAACAAAGACTGTCCCAAGGACCCGTCCACACACAGACGCCCCTTCTCCCCCACAGCTGCCACTCTCCGATTACAGCTTGGGACCCTCTACATGTGCATTTGTCTGCTCTGAACATCAGCACCATCACATGGCATCCCTTGAGACATCTTTGGAGAAAATTGAACACAGCACACGAGAACAAAGTTCTTATGCTGAATGGCAGCAACTAAGGAGGTGCCGCATCACCTCTTCCAAATTCCAAGAGATCTGTCACACCGGGGGGGGAAGCTCTGCTGAAAACCTCGCCAAAAGGCTTCTGAGACCTTGCCATCAGACTGCTAACATGCGGCGGGGGCTTGACATGGAGCCACTATCCATGTGGATTTCTGATACACCCTGATGCACCATGGATGGGTTCATCACCTGATGGGATTGTGTACGATCCTGAGGGGCAGCCAGTGTTTGGCCTATTGGAGATCAAATGCCCAAATGTAACAAGCTATGTGGACTGCCCTTACATTCAGATCAGGGAGGGTACACAGACACTGAGGCGATCTCATCCTTATTACTGGCAGATCCAGGGCCAGATGTTAATTTCAGGGTGTGACTGGTGTGACTTTGTTATTTACACAAAAGATGACATGTTTATTCAGAGAATTCCCCGTGACATGGAAGTCATTGAAACCATTAAAGAAAAAATTGACCGTTTCTTTTTTTATTTTTACCTCAATGCCTTCTTGGATACAGTAATTAGTGAGTTCATGGCAATGTAAATGTATTTGTAACAGTGTTGAATATAATAAAATGTGAGTAAAATGTTGCTGCATTGTGTTTGTTTATGCAAAATGACTGTAACAGATGACTTGGATTTAAGCATTTAGGTGTTTTGTATTGCTTAAGTAATCAAGGTAAATGACAAACTAAAAAATGGGTGATAAAAACTTAATAAAGTTGCTTTTGTTAATAGGCAGCACTTTAAGACCTCAACTGTGTGCAAACAGATTTCATGAAAATATAAACAAGAGTAAGGAAAATATGAGTTAATATGTAAAGATAAATGCTGGCCTATTTAAGCCAGAGTACTGCTCAAATTTAAAGTATTTTAAAAAGGGAGGGTAAAAAACATTGTATTTTCGTAATTTGTTTGCATATAAACATATACTTTATATACAGTGGGGCAAAAAAGTATTTAGTCAGCCACCAATTGTGCATGTTCTCCCACTTAAAAAGATGAGAGAGGCCTGTAATTTTCATCATAGGTATACCTCAACTATGAGAGACAAAATGAGAAAAAAAAATCCAGAAAATCACATTGTCTGATTTTTAAAGAATTTATTTGCAAGTTATGGTGGAAAATAAGTATTTGTTCAATAACAAAAGTTCATCTCAATACTTTGTTATATACCCTTTGTTGGCAATGACAGAGGTCAAACATTTTCTGTAAGTCTTCACAAGGTTTTCACACACTGTTGCTGGTATTTTGGCCCATTACTCCATGCAGATCTCCTCTACAGCAGTGACGTTTTGGGGCTGTCACTGGGCAACACAGACTTTCAACTCCCTCCAAAGATTTTCTATGGGGTTGAGATCTGGAGACCGGCTAGGCCACTCCAGGACCTTGAAATGCTTCTTATGAAGCCACTCCTTCATTTCCCGGGCGGTGTGTTTGGGATCATTGTCATGCTGAAAGACCCAGCCACGTTTCATCTTCAATGCCCTTGCTGATGGAAGGAGGTTTTCACTCAAAATCTGACAATACATGGCCCCATTCATTCTTTCCTTTACATGGATTAGTCGTCCTGGTCCCTTTGCAGAAAAACAGCCCCAAAGCATGATGTTTCCACCCCCATGCTTCACAGTAGGTACGGTGTTCTTTGGATGCAACTCAGCATTCTCTCTCCTCCTGTAAGGAAGAGGACTGCCTTACTATTATTTATATTGTAATCTGTATAGCACGTTAGCAGCATACTTTTCACTTTATTAAAGGCACTGTATATTAAGCACTTTATTTAGCATCGCACGTTAACCACAGATTTGCATAGAAGAACATGTGCATACAAAAGTTTAATTGTGTGTTGAATATACAGTATACACACTTCATTGTACTATATATTACTATATACATAAATGTTAATGCTACATATAAACAAATGTAGATAATCGCTACATATGAACAATTGTAGATAATTGCTATTTACAGAGATTGGAAGTCCTTTCTCAAAAATGGGGCTCTGTTGGACTAGTGTTAGTCATCAGGCTTCTTCGCCCAAGCCTTTACCAATGGCCCATTTTCATAATTTGTTAGGAGACAAGCCACTGTGTAGAGCTGGCTGATGCTTCCAACAAGGCGTAGGGGAATTTCAGAGTCAAAGAATTTGTGCTCCTTGACCCGGCGAATGAGGCGCTCCACATGCACCCTGAGACGTGCTATGGCCTGGGTCTCCTTAACTTCACATGCTGACATTTGAGACCTGTCAGAGAGGAATGCTGGCCTGTAAATCTTGCATGGTACAACGTCATCTATAAGAAAACCTTGGTCTGCCATGACAGCCATCCCAGGTTTTAGGAGGGTAAGGAGACCACATTCACGTGTGATCTGCTTGTCGCTGACAGACCCGGCATACAGTGAAGAGACGAATGTCACTGCCCCATGTGGCGCAATTCCAATGAGCCCTTTCAGAGTGCAGTGGGACTTGTAGTAGGAAAACACCTCACTCTGGAGGACAGGGGAAGACGGACATTGACACCTCAGCTCAGTGCAGTCAAGGATAACTGTAGTGTCAGGGAAGTCCTTGAAATCTGCTGGCAGATTTTTACGTATCTGCTCCTGAGGTATCCAGATCCTCACTGAGCCAAGTACCGTGTAGAGGAAGTTGCTCAATGACATAATGATTCGACTGACCATGGACTGATGGATTCTGTACCGTTCAGCAAGGTCCTGCTGCTTGGATCCAAGGGCGAGGTAATTCAAGAAGAGAAACAACTCATTGATAGGCTACAGGGAATGGGCTGTGGTGGATTCTGTGAGAGTTCCTATCTGCGCTTGCCGCACACTGACCATGGATGGTAGAGACGGCTCAATCAAGGCCCAGAAACACATAAGCAGGTCATACGATGCAAACCTAAAGAAATAGAATACAGATATTCAAATAATAACTGTAAGCAATTAACTAAAAAGCAGAGGAAACAGAAATAACTTTAATTTGATGTATCTGCGTATAGTGTTAGTTATTTAATATCAACTGTTAAGAACTATTAATACGCAGAAGTAGTGAAGAATACTGTGTTAATAATGCATTTAGGCCATTGCACTGTACAAACACACACTTATGTGTTCTTAACTATCCAGACTTGACTTACCTTGTGAAGAACCGGATATCTTTATCCGAGGCAGCAAAACGATGGATGCCGAATCTCTGCGTCAGCGTAAGGCTCTCGATCTGTTGGCGTAGCAATCTAACTTCCTCTCGGAGAGATGCATTTTCTTCCAGCACCAAATCAACCACTGCAGGATCGGTACCCAAGGCGTAGTCGTGGTTCATGGGGGCGTCTGCATTGTCAGGTGCATTATCCTCCATGTCAACCTCTGGCGGCGGTCTTGGTCTTCGCTCCCAAACCCCCGGTCTTGGAGGTGGAAGGGAGAAATTATTCCACGTGAATAACGCTGAAACAGCTCCCTTTTTAAGCAATCACCGTTCTCTCTCTCTGATGCTGGCTCACGAATATCTTCGGCTTTAAAATGCCGGCTACACACCCGGGTGTGAGCCGTTACGCAAACTTATCCCTCCGGATAGCGACGATCCATTTACGCCTTATCTCCTCATCCGAAGGAAAAGTAAAGAAACTAAGTACACTGTTGTACTTACTAGAAGCCTGGCATAATGGCACACAGCAATGCTCAGCTGTTGTACCACATGTTTTCTGGTATTTAATTCTTCCATTGTTCACTAGCGTAGATCTGTAGGCTAACGGAAGTATTCGCGGTGGCTGAAATTTAAACGGAAGTACGTCAGCGCAGGCGTTGGCATATATGGTGCATTCGTTTTTCTCTCGGAACACGGAAATTCCGATTTGAGTGACATCACGTCCGACAATCTCCCGTTCGAGCTACCCACATCTCGGAACAAACATGGC